CTGCTGAAACCTGTTATCTGGGGGGGTTCTTTTGCAATTCGTGATTTTTGGAAAAGGAATTCTACCTCGACCGGGAGGAGAATTCCTTATTCCATACTTTCATTTAGTTATAATTATACATACTTTATTTAAACTTCTTATTCCGAATTTTTATTTACTCAATTCTTTATTACAGAGAAGAAGAAGCAGCAGCTCCGTCTGGGTGATTGTGAATTCCCTTCTCTCCGCAGCAACAAACTCCCACCAAAGTGTCCTTCTCTGAAGCTGAAGAAGCTGCCAAACTGTGCCCACCCTCCCCTTTTCCTTTCCCCTTCCCCCCTGGGCCCAGCCAAACTTTGTGTTTCTCAAGTACCACCTGCAGTCAGGTTTTCCCCACAACTGATGGGTAAAAATTCCACAGGTGAGCCAGAACTAAAAAGACACCTAACCCCCAACAGCTTCTCATCTCCATCTCTTTGCACTCCAAAAGCCAAGAGGAATTGATCTGTCACTTCAAAACAACTCAAATCCCACTGAGAACAGCTCCATTTTACCCCAAAAGAGCTCAATCCCAATTCAAAAGGGCTTGTTCCACCTCAGGAGATCTCAATCCCACACCAAAATGACTCGGTTCCACAGCCGCCAGGAGATCTCAATCCCACACCAAAATGACTCGGTTCCACAGCCGCCAGGTGAGATGGAGTTGGAAGGTGTTCTGGTTTAGGGCAAATTTGGAAGAAAACCTCTGAATGGGGTGCCTCTAACAGGCAAATTAAAGCAGCCCCTCCCCTGAATGTTTAATGAAAAATATTTTCTTGGAGAAAAGTGGAAAACGCAGTTTATTTAACAATCAAAGTATCCACAAGCATGAGAAAGATGAATAATATTAAAGAATGAATCCTCTGGCTGTTTGAAGAGATGCCAAATCCAGAAAAGTCCTTTCCATGGGGTGTAGCTCAGCTCGCTCAGTCTCTTATCAGTTCCTCCGGCACTGGAAAGGGCCCAGGCCCAGGCCCCTGTGGGCCACAGCCGTGAGCTCCCGGGGTTTGTCTGGGTTCTCAGTCCAGAGCAGCTTTGAACAGATCCAAGGAAAAAGGCAAAAATCACTCAGGGGAACTTCTGTGCCTCAGCTAGCTAAAAACTAACTAAACTAAACTAAAACCTAACTAAAAAGGAAACTGAACTAAAGTGCCTAGAAGCAAAGGAGAGCTCTGTCCCGCTGTCTGTCCCTGCTGCAGACGACACAGGCCGGGAAAGTGTGCGGGGCAGTGAGTGCCATTTCTGCAAACAAACTGCAGCTGCTTCTTTCCCTGCTTTGCTCTCAGAGCCAGTCTTGAAGGTGCAGAACTTAATAGCCAGCAGAAACAGGACAGACGCCTGGGGATCCAAGGATCACAAAGTCACCCCAGGCCAGAAGGAGATCGGGAGAAGTAGGATCCACATTTGGAGCGGTGGGATGGGGATTGTGTGGGGCTGGCTGGGTGGGCTGTATTTGATAGGAAATCAAACTTTCAGAGTTCCTGATTTCTGTCCCATTCATTTTCAGTCAGGTGCAGCTCTGTTTGCAGAGTGCTGCTGTGGCGCTTGAGACGGACACACGACACAGCGAGGTTCGTGCTGCAAGAGCAATCTTTATTATTCAGGAGTTGCTTTTCGATGGTTGACCCCAATGGGCTGGAACCTTGGTGCCCCCCCCGGCCACTGACCAATAGCTGCCTGCGTCTGCGCTCCTCAGGGATTGGCCAGCGTCCCTTCTCTGCAGCCGAGTCCCTCTGCCTCTCCGTGCCCTCTCTCCCAAAGGTGTTTGATTTCCATTCTGTCACAAGAACAGCCTTATCAACTTCAGGGCTTTGGGAGGCTTCAGGCCAGCTGTTCACCGGCATCTTTAGGGACCCAAAATCCCCCCAGATTCCCTGCAGAGACCCCAAAATTTCTACTTTAGGACCCCAAATTCACAAACATTCCCTTCAGAGATGCCAAAATTCCCAAAACTTTCCTGTAGTGAACCGAAACTTCCCATGTTTGGACCCAAAATTCTCTATAGAGACTCCAAAATTCCCAACAATTCTCTATGGAACCCCCCAAAAATGCCCTTTGAGTACAGCAAAATCTCAAAACTTCCCATGTTTGGACCCAAAATTCAAAGAAATTCCCTATGGAGACTCCAAAATGCCTAACATTTTCAGTTTTCAGTTACAGGCCCAAAAATTCCAATACAATGATTTCAAAATTCTCATTAAGGACTCCAAAATTTCAAAAATTTCCTTATGCGGACCTCAAAATTCCCAAGAGACCCCTAAATATCCTTTCAGGCCCTAAAAATACCTTATCAGAACCCCAAAATTCCATATAAGGTCCCCACATTTCCAAGAATTCCCTGGACAGATCCTAAAATTCTCAAAAATTCTGTTCAAGGATTCCAAAATTCCCCTATAGAGATCCCTAGGCACCCTCAGAGTCCCCTGGGCCTGACAGGGGCTCTCCCAGACCCCTATGGAGCCCCTGTTGATCCCCTATAGATCACCTATAGATTACCTAGAGTTCCCCTATAGACCCTGTGTGGATCCCCTAGATATCAGCTATTGATCCCCTATAGATCCCCAGAAGAGCCCCTGTAGATTCCCAAGAGACTCCCTACAGGTCCCTCATAGATTCCCTACAGATCCACCATAGCTTGCTTAGAGATCCCTTCGATATCCCATGTAGATCCCCTAGAAATCCCCTACAGATCCCTTACAGATCCCCTGTAGGTCCCCAATAGATCCCCTATAGATCCTTTATAGCCCCACTGTAGGTCTCGGACATGCTGGAGCCGGGCCAGGGCATCGGGAGCAAAGATGGCAGTGCCCAGGCAAAGACCCTTCCAGGTATTCTGCACATGCGCTGGAGGGAAAGGGCCAGGAGATGGGCGGGGCTCAGAGGAAAACAAGGATGTGGCCAAGGAGAAGGCTGGATATGAATGGAAGGGGGCGTGGTTAAAGAAAGGGCGGGAACTGTGAGGGGAAGGGGTGGGGACAAGGAAAAGGA